CCGATTTGCTGATGGAAATTGTCTGGTTAAACAGATGTCATTTCCGCCGAGTGTAGTCCGGTTAAACTGATGTCCGGTTTAAAGGTGTCCGGATAAGAGGGAGTCTACTGTAGCAGCAAACCTAGGTACTCGTTAAACCTAATGTTATCTAAATTTAATTGAAAATCAATTCAGACAAATGGAAATTCGCTTAGTCGGCAGGTTTTCTGCGGGGGTGGGGGGTATTTAAGGGTTACCTTTTTCTCTATACCTAGTATATTTTATTTTATGTCATATTGTAGGCTTATCTGTAAACACTGATCTCATATTTAATTATCCTTAACCAGGATACGCATCCAAGTGTGTCAGCATTGAGTTTTGATAGGATAGGGTTTATTTTAAACCAGTAGCAATCTTAGTGTAATTTTCATGTTTCACAGATGACAGAGAAGACATTCTGCGATACTGTGAGAGGGTAACAGGGCGCTGTCTGACGGTTGAGGTATTGGTTCATACCAACCGCGATCGCATCCAGGAAGACGCGTTGTACCAGGTGAGTTAAGAACACAAAAACCAACTACTGTTGATAAGATTTTTTTTCACTTTTTAAGCATTTCTCTTGTAAACATTCAGTGCTTTACATGTTGGCTACTGATCGGCAAGAATATTGTAAGTGCTACTGTACACAAATATTAAAACAGATAAACAAGTTTATTACATCTAATACATGCTATTGTGAGATTGTTGTATTTATTGTAATTGAGTGACAAGACAAATAACTGTACATTCAGTCATAGTTATGGTTTGTGGGTCAGCTTGTAAAATCCATGCAGGAAATTAAGAAATTTCCACTTTACTTTATTAGTATTTTTCTTTTGTACCGTTGACCGATTATTCCATCAGTGTGGGCTGTAAATATGATAGACTGACACCATCACACTTTGAGATCTGATGTTTTATGTAGACGTTGTATATGAATTAGTTAAATTTTTTAATTCTTATGTTCATATGCATTTAAATACTTGGCATTATTTGTCTGAGGAGGAGGAACCAGAGGTTCACAAAAACTTTTTGGTAAAGCAGTCAAACCCCATATTTTTAGAAGCCAACAGTGATGTAGTGAATAGGCTGTGGATTTAGGCTAGTTAGTTGTAAATCGTTTTATTTCATCTATCTTTTTCTTCCAAGTTTTACAATATTTGTTATTCTTTCATTCTTAACAAAATAAATAAAACAGAAATACAAATCACAGCTGTTGCTACAGAAATTTCAGTAGCAATGCTCCCACTGTATTAGTTGTGCTGGGCCCCTTTTTTAAATAGGCTACTTTTAAAAATACTTTTTGATTGAAATGGCGACCATACAAAGTAGGTATTTTAAGCCAAGTATGAATGGAGATGAGTGTAGGATGAGTGGCGCAATCTTGTAGTCTTGACTTGATGATGAGGTATGTAGTGAACAATGTCATTGATTTCATCATAGCTGTCGTTACCCAAGTCTTGTGAATACATTGGGATGAATTGGCGTTGATCTTTTCTCTTCTCTTGACTTTATACTATGTTGTGAGGGGCTCTTCATATGTCATCTGTAAGCCAACACTGTGTACAGTGGAGTCCCGATAATCCAAACTTCGGTAATCCGAAAGTCCGCTTAATCCGTAGCTAAAAAATAATTTTTAATCTTTTATATATATATATATATTAACTAAAAGTTTTTTTTATATATTTTTATTCTGTTTATATTTTATTACCCAGTACGTGCTGCCACTTACTGGGGAAAGTCGAAACTACTAGAGCCGTCGCGTGACGACATTAATGTAGTTTACTGTAAGTATCGCTCAGCGGTAATGGAAACACCATCGTCGTCTCCCACGGTCACATAAACGTTATCTCCCATGATGGCGGAAAAGTTCTGATCATCTCGCGCAGTGGTGTAGACTTGTCGGGCATAGGTATCGGAATTGACTTAGAGCAGTCAATTCTCGATTTTGATTCCAAAGCCAAGAATCAGTAGAATCATGAATCGACTTTTAGAATTGATCTATCCCTAATTATATTATTTTGAACAGATTCATCTTTTGTTCCAGGTCAACCGACTTATCGACAGCCTTGTAATTTCCATAAAATCTGATCCAACGGCTACAAGAGTGAAATGCCTATCTTACATGGCCGCTTGTACTTCTACTTCTTATCAGGCAGCCAGTGATAAGAACTTTGAAACAGCAATATTGGGATGCACACTCGATGATCAGAAACGCATCAGGAAACGCTTACAGGGACTGCTAGACTACATGAACCAAGAACCAATTATCAGCACAATAGATTGAAAGTATACTCACTTTAAACTAACAAGTGTGGTGGATCCTGAAAATATTTGACTTTTTCATGTTGAATTTCAATAACAATGTTGGTTACGAATAAGTCATGGTGATAATATTAACACGTATGTACGTAATGAGTTTCTTTTTCTTTTTATAGTACTTTTTCTAATTTTTGGTTTCGATAAGGTTTTCAAAAATTTTCCTTAGTTGAAAAATTGTTGAAATTTAAATTTGGTTTTTGTGCAGTACCCTTGTAGTTTTGGAACGTGTTGAAATATAAATTTACTAAGCGCATGTTTTGAAATTTCCATTATGCTTATTTATTTATTAAACTTTTAAAGTTCGTTATTTAGTGTTTTTTACTCTCCATGCCAATAAAAAAGGAAGAATTTTTAAACTACTATGATTAAATGTCCACAAAATATAGGTTCTCTTAAAACTGTTGTCTGTGCATTTTGTTAGATGAAATCTCCATTTTAATGCCTTAACTATTTAAATTCCTCATGTACCTTCACTATATCAGATTATTTTCAAAGACTGATACTAATTCAGCACATTAAGTTGATCATTGTTTATTTCATCCTCTATATAATACAATATTGTAAGTGATATAAAAGAATATTTGCCAAGGTTTATCTAAGTTCCTTAATTGAAATTTTGTGCAGTACACAGCATTTGACCCATATAATTGGTATCAATGCAAATGTTTACAATTTAACTTCTGGACTCGCTTGAATGCTCTTAATATTATTAAGCTGTTTGACTGTTATATAAATTACAAAAGCAACTGACATTTTATAATATTTTATTTGATAGTAATTTTTTCAGCAATATGGTGGAATGTAGAGTTTACTAACTTCTTCAATCCATTCTTCCAATAGGAAATAATATTGTGGAATGTAGCAATATTTTGGTGGAATTTCATCTGGAAAGTTTACTAACTTCTTTATTTCATTATTCCAATACGAAATAATATTGTTGGTTAGTGTAAATTATTTATCTTCAAAATTCAATTTTTATGAGGTATCTTTCTCTAGTTTAATTTTGTCTTTTTATATTTTTGTATTATTTGCAATTAGAATGTTTTTTGTTCAAACCCTGGTCTCGTTGTCGTATTGTTTTAAAGGCATTGTTAATTGATAGCCTAATCACTAAATGACAAGTGGGTCCTTAACCCCTCAAGATCAAGTCTACAGCATTTATAATGTCTAGATTGTAGCACAACGGATTGAGTTATCAAATAATTAAATAACTTGCGTCATCAATCCATGAATTGCTGTGGAGTACGTGTTTCAACCATCAGGTCATCCTCAGCTCCACTGTCACTAGGTTGAATCTGTTTCTATGTTGCTTCGATTTTGTAGCAACGTCGATATGGTTGAAACGCGTACTCCACAGTAATTCATGGATTGATGACGTAAGTTATTTAACTACAGCATTTAGGTTTGAAATATTGCACTCTTTAATTTACATGGTCATCCAGACTATTCTTGAGGCACTAAACTACCATTTCTTGTACTTTTGATTAAAATAGGCGTTTTCCAATTTTCCTACATCCTACAAGTAAGCGAATTGCAAAAACTATTTGTATACATACATACATAGGCTAAAGCCGACTTAGTCCTAGAGCAGCCATCACTTGCTGAAACCTCACAGACACATTCATCAATCACTTAAATCTCATATTAGCTCCTTTGTTGTTTTAATCAAAGCTTTCTTACAACAGGTTGACATTGACGTACCAGAGTTTGAACATTTCCTTACCTAGTATGTTTGGTGAAGGATAACAATTAAAAGACTTTAATGCTCTTTGTGCCAGAGATTTCAACCTAACATTTGAAGTATTGAGTGGACACTTTCCTATCTTTGATGTGCATGCACCTATTATTTTTTACACATCCCACCACAGATACAAGACTTATATAAATCTGTCAATTTATAATATTTTTGATATGTTTTGTTTGGCAGATATGGCTCTCTTGATTACTGTAAAAAAGGGTCAGTATTACTTTGAATATAAATCTTATTATGCTTTTACAAGAACTGTAGCGTATTAAACAACAAACTGTACTTACGCCTTCTTAAAATGACACATGATACATTCCATGTATATAGGCCTGCAGTGCTAAATTAAGACCTTAAAAGTCAGTGTTAACTGTAATTTAACGGTATTAAATATTTACATATTAAGTGGTGTATTATTGTTACTCCTGTTCGGATCAATGTATTTTTTAAGAAACTGCTAGTTGGATAATAATTTTTGCTCTGATACAGTGGGACGAAGTTTTGACTGTCGAAGTCCAAAAAAGCTCAAAAAATTAACCACTAAGAACAAACTAAAACTGAGCAAAGTGGGATATAACTGTGATTGTGTTGCATCTTTGTAAACTTTGCACAATCCTTAAAAATTAAAGTAAATTGTCAGCAAAGTAGTTGTGAATAAAAAGGTTGTCAAAATATTCAAGACATTGACTTGTTTAAATGAAATCACTTCTGACATTGATGCATGTAGATTGTGATGTCACCAATATGACATGAAATTGAATTATCACTTTCACAAGAAATAAGTAATAGCATTTACAGTAAGTAACATCTTATGAATAAACAACCAAAACAAAAAAAAAAAAAATGGGAGAATAATTATAAGACAAAGACATGTCTTTTGAAGGTTTATTAATCACATAAAAATCCATTTGTCACAGCATTAAAATATGAATATTTAAGAACAAGGTACTTAGTATCTTTATTGTTTATGTTCTTAAAATTAAAGATACATAATATCATAATTTCTTCCATTTATCTAGAAGGTAATTTTATTTAGACACACCTGAGATTAAACAACAACAAAATAATAGGAAGTAACTGTTGATTCTTGCCTAATAATATGAAAGAAAAATTTACTTCTTGTTAATTGAAGGAATTACTTATTAACTCTAAATAGATAAATTAATTGCTAACTTAGCTTGATCATTTACACTATTCCTAGTTTAGAATCCAATTACTTTAGGAGAAAACAAACCTACAATCTTTAAAATTAGACAACTATTGAATTATGAGTTTATACCTCATGTACCTCACAACCTCATGCACATTTCTAACTATTACAGTACCTTATGAGCTAATTTACTCAACAAACATGAACTAAAATAGCAGCTTTTCGGTGCTCTCACTAAAGCCTAATTAAAAACAAACTTGTAATTAAAACTAACTTATATGCAATGCATAAATGGGCAACTGATACGCTTAACACAAAAACATACATCTTAAAAAAAATCAAACACAGTCTTGGGCTTATTATTTAAAGATTTTGGCACGAAGGAAAAAGCTGGTCCACTGGAGTTTGAAGGATTTTCATTTTCACAATAAGCAGCTGAAACAAAACAATTTTATTACATTTTTAAATTTGTATAATATTTTTTCAAACATCCTCTTGTATTATAAGCGTTAAGCTACAAACTCCATTTAATATTTTTTACATTGTTTAGAGATTTGAATATTTTACTTGCTAAAATTTTGTAAAATTGAACCCAAGTCTCACACATTTTTGTGATCATATTAGACGAGCTAAATTTATTCAATGGGAGGGTAAACGTTACTATGGCACAAGGTGATCCGATGGAAGTTATGTGTAGATCTATATTCTAGCGTGAGTTGAGAGAAAATAATAAATTTATCTGATTATACAGTGGAGTTTTAGCGAAGCAACATTCTTGAACATTGTTTTGACAGGGAAAAACAATCTGAGTTACACCTCACATAAATTGTCAATTTATGTAATGGTCTTTCAAGAAATATTCCAGTGAGTAGGCCTAATATTAATTCTCAACCAATAAGTCCAAACTTTAAATGTTTGTGGCGTTTAAGGTTTTAGGTATTATAAAAATGAGTGGGTCTAAATTCATTCAAATTATAAAAAAAATACTTATATCTTTTGAGTTTCCTCACAAAAAAATTACATACTAGTGTACATGTTGCTCGAATTCGAGCAATTGCAAAGTATTACCGGAATTATTATTATTTCCAAACGAATAACAGTCATATTTACAATGTGTTTAAAAGAGTCAACTCAAAGATTACCGGTGTGTAACTCAGATCATGTTTATCTTCGTTATTGGTAAACCTAAAGCAATCCGGCCGGGATTCTCCTTCTTGAAGTGTTCGTGCTTTTGGTCTGTATAGAGTTCACATTATTTATTACCATATGTTACATACAAATAACAAGGTTGTTTACTTTTTGTTGTCAGTTAGTTTTTACATGATTAAAGTCAAGTTTCGTTTTACTAAGTTGTACTTTTTAATTGTATAAGTGAATACATGTTACTTCTTATAATGCCTCGTTGTACAGGCAACACAGGTCCATGATAGAGGACTAATTGAGAACGAAAAGTCGTTTTAGGGTAGTGTTAAAGGGCGCATTTGTAACCTAATAGTTGAGTTTGTCCAGGGTCAGGTGCTGACTGTGATTAAGCCTATTACCATAGATTAAAAGAAGTACTCCTTTTATCAATCATATAAATATCAAGTATTGATATAAGTATATTGATATAAGTACTCCTTTTATCTATGCTATTACGCAGCACACTGTTCTGTAGCTGCGGTCGTTATCACGATTATGCCTCTGTCTATGCTTCTGTAATGGGTCAAAATTATAGAGGGGTTAAGTTTTTATATTTATTATTTAATTATCAGTAGGCCTATTCCTTACCTGGTTGGTGATAGTGGTAAACCTATCATGGTAAGGTAAATAGGCTGTTCTAGGCCTATCCTAGGGTTGAAGTAGGGATAACCTCACTTTTGGCAAAATCACTAAAGACACTATTTTTGAGATTCACAAGTCACAGTATTGCATCGTTGTGTACAAAACGAGTGATAAACCGTTTCCGGGTAACCCCCATACCTAATATACACCTTTGGGAAGTACGGTCAAAGTTGTTGTTTAGGCTAGGGTGGTGAACCGCGATCACGAATACAATATCACGTACATAACATGCATACACTTTGTCGCACACTAAGCTACACGTCACGGGTGGAAATTATACTTTTTGTTTAAACCAGCAATGATATTAAAGTTCCGCGTATAATTTCACAGTCGGCGTAGGTAAATAACAACATAACCTGTACCACTAGTCGGCTGTCTTGGCGTTGTGTTGTGACAGCGCCAAGTTTGAACTCGTGACATCACCGATCAGCTGGGAAGTGAATCAGCTGATTCCCCATCCCTAAGGGGTTAGGGAGGGGGAAAGAGAGGAGATCCCTTGTGGGCTAGGGATGCAATCATGCAATGGTCATTCTAATTCTGCGATTTCCAGTGTTAGGACGTGTCTTGCTTTGAAAGAGTGATTGCTTTAGTGATTTTGCTAAACGTGTGCTTTGGTGTGTCAGTGAAGATCCCTGGAGTATACAGGTAATTCGCCGGCTTTATCTTAATAGTGTGTACTATTATTTTTTATTATTTAGCGATAAACCCTCATTTTATCCTTTTAGACATAAAACTCACGGTAGGATCTTTGTCGGGTGTTAGAACTTGTATAAGTCCGCTTTAGCGTATGCTAGGGCTCCCGTGGGTGGCAATAAAGAGTTTTAGGGATACAAATTTCGTTTAATATTGTGTTTACAATATATATTGAGGGTGACGGGGTTATAGCGGGTATTTTGCCGGGATATTCAGTAGGTGTTTAACTGCTGCGGCAAAGCGGGCAAAGTTGAACCCGTCTCTGCAGGTCGTGCAAACACGAGGTCGGGTGGAGCACGCTAAGTATATTCAGAAGAAATATTCTAAGTGTTGAGGTTGACGAAACTGCAACATTAAATTGTTTCAAAATTTCGTTGAATGGTTTTTCATTATTTTTAAATTTAATTTAATTAGCTGTTCCCAGGTGTGAACGATGATGATGGTACAGTAGCGTTGTTGGTTACCGGTACTGAGTTCACACCTGATTCACACTACATTTTTGCGTAAATACAAATCTGTACCTGTGCTAGGTTGTTGAGTTAATAAAATAAATTATTTTTATCTGAACCCTGGAAACTTCCCAGCACACCGACTTGAGCGATCCGCTGGCGAGAGTTGGTGACGTCTTTCCCGCTTTAACTACGGAATAGCGCATATATTCCGAGCGGGAAAAACGGCACGTTACATTGGCGCCCGAACGAGTAGACATTTTTTGATTGATTTGGACTTAGTTTTACTGGAGTTGTGTTTTAATTTTAGTTAGTTAGCATATACCTAGTGTATTCTAACTCTAGTTTGAGCTGGTTTATATCAGTTGGAGGGAACTAGCTTTTGTTTTAGGCTAACTAACGACCAAGTAAAACTAGTTAACGACCCATTATTATTTAAAATTGTGGTTGTGAATTTATTTAGCCCACGTAGCATAGCCAATTTTGGCCGATACTTTTGTGCTAGTCTTAGCAACCAGTTATTGCCAGTTGTATATATTATATTTATTGAACCTGCATTTATTGTTGTGGGGTGTATAGTATAATTTTAGTTTTTTTTTATTTTGGTGTTGATTTGATAATTTAGTACTTGCTTTATTATTCTTTTAAATAGCTTGTTGGTACTTAGGCATTTTATTTAACTGTTATAACTGGTGATAAGGGTTTAAGTGTGATAACACCTAAACATAGACGTGGGCGAATTTAATTTTTTTTAATTTAATAATTTTTTATTTTATTTTTTTACTTTATCTGATTAGGCCCGTGTTACGGTCATGCCGAATACCACTGAGGTTGAGTCGTCGGTTGCTCAAACCGTTACCACGGTACCGGTAGTAGTGACAACTTGCGCTGGGACCTTTACGGTGACTACCAGTAGTACTGCGAACCTTCTCAATGTCACGCGGGATGTAATACCCCCTGCGACTCTAGGGGCGATCCCAGGGACAAACCCGACAATTTTGGGTGAAGGCTTGAGGTCTCCGTTCGATGATCCTCGCGTGGGGTGGATCCACGAATTGCGTAAAGAGGACCTCACACGTGAGATGGAGAGGTTTGGACTAGACACTCGAGGGAAGGTGGAAGATCTGAGGAGAAGGTTTTGCCAGTTCTGGAAGGACCCTAAGAGTCAGTGGCCTTTCTTGTCTCAGGCTGGTATGATTAACCAAGCCCAACAGCCTACATGGGTGACGGCTACGGGCCATGAACCTGGTTACATGCCTGAGAGTGCTTCTGGGGGTGATCAACGTCCTCCCTCCTTCCCAGGCGAGAATGTGGGGTCGGACGCCAAACATGTTGTTGCGGATAGCGTTTGTGAAATGTTGGGGCTTCCGCCTGACACCGACGTGGACACAGTTAGGCAGACCTTGGCCGTGGTGTTGAGAACCGCGTCAGAACCAAAGACATCAAGCATAGACGGTTTACGTAAGGAGACTGGCCCATTTAATTTGACCGGTAGCCTTGTCACCTTTAGTGACGGATTCCAGCGGCCTATAACGACTGAAATTCAGCCTGAACCCGTATCCTCTGCAACCGGGGTGTCTTCGGCTAGAGTAGGTCTTCAGCCCTGTCTTGGGGGCGTGGCTCAGCCCTCGTGGGGTGACTCAATTTTGAGAACCCGGTCAGATGCTCGTCCTTACCTACAGCCGGGCAACTATACGCCGTATACAGATGGGCTACCTAGGCCGGTGGGAGAAAACAACTTCCGTGATAGACCGAGTACTGCGCCTTGGTTTTCTGGACAGCCAAGTGGTGATACGGTTAGGCGAAATAGAGAGTTAACTTTGCCTACGACTTCTACCTATTATCAACCGATGCTTGACAAGCGTAGTCGCGAGTTTACTTCGATTTGTGATTCTGTGCGGAAGTGGAATTTGCGATTCGATGGGAGAAGAGATCCCGTCTCGTTTGTTGAGCGGCTCGGTGAACTGATAGAAACCTACTCCTTGAGCGATGAGGAGGTGTTAAGAGCAATGCCAGAGCTGCTTCAAGGGGAAGCTCTGTTATGGTATCGGAACCAGAGGAGTTTTTGGGTTGGTTTCGCTGATTTTCTGGCTGATTTTGAAACCCAGTTTTATCCTCCCGGATACCGACGCTACCTTGACGAGGAAATTCGCAAGCGTACGCAGGGTGATAACGAGTCATTCCGCTGTTATCTCACTGCGATATCAACCCTGATTCGGCGCAGTGGTGAATTCTCTGCTCAGCAGAAGTTAAACCTAGTTTACACGAATATGAAGCCCGATTATAAACTTATGGTACGGCGTAGTGACTTTGCTACAATACCAGAGTTAACTCGGAGGGCCGAGGAATATGAGGCGTACTTGAGGGATCGAAGTACTTTTCGGCCTCCCCCTCCTCCGTCTCTAGCTCTTGTTCCGGAAACGGCTTATGTGTCAAAGCGTAGGATGGAGCGGGTGTTTGACCACGCTG